TGTGGTGGCACATGCATGCCTGTAGTCCCAGCTATTCAGGGAGCTGAGGCAGGAGGATTGTTTGAGCCCAGGAGATTGAGGTTGCTGTGAGCTAGGCTGACGCCACGGCACTCACTCTAGCCTGGGCAACAAAGCAAGACTCTGTCTCAAAAAAAAAAAAAAAATTATGGCAGATGGCGAGAAGAAAAGTTTCAGGTGCTATGAAGGTATGTAATGGGAGAGTCTGTTCTTTTTTTTTTTTTTTTAGACAGAGTCTCACTCTATTGCCTGGTTTAGAGTGCCATGGCATCAGCCTAGCTCACAGCAACCTCAAACTCCTGGGTTCAAGCAATCCTGCCTCAGCCTCCTGAGTAGCCACCATGCCATGTGCCACCATGATGGCTGATTTTTTGTCTATTTTTAGTAGAGATGGGGTCTCATTCTTGCTGAGGCTGGTCTCAAACTCCTGCCCTCAAGTGATCCTCCCACCTCGGCCTCCCAGAGTGCTAGGATTACAGGCGTGAACCACCATGCCCAGGCCGGGTATCTGGTTTTGAGGTGTCAGAAAAGCCTCTTTGTGGAAGGGCATGTAGTCTGATCCCCATAGGGTTAGCTAGGAGAAGAACTGGGGGGAAAACACCCTAGGAAGAAACAGCTTCATGGACGCTTTGAAGGAGGTGAAACCTTGGCACTGTCAAGAAGATGAGAGAAGCCGAAAGGGCAGGAGCGTAGCAAGGGGGACAAGAAACTTGTGATGAAGGTGCACGGTTGGCAGGGGCTAGGTCATGCAGGGCCTTGAAGCAGCATCAGTCGTAGCTGCCATGATGATGATGAGGATGTCGAAGGCAGTGATGTGTTTGTAACACCTAGTCTGGTCCCATTCTAAGCGCATGATATATGCTTATTTCTTCCCACCACCTCCTGTACTTGAAAATGCATGGAGTGTTTAGGAAAAAGAAAGAAGTTTCTGAAGTCTGGAGTGCATGAGATAAGGGTTGAGAGATGACCCTAGAGAAGTCAGATTTGGGTCAGATTCTAAAAAGTTTCACATTCCAGGCTAAATGTTTGGAGGTTGCCATACGGGCAATAGGGAGCCATGGAAGGTGTTGCAGCAGGGAGTAGTGTGATTAGACAGATTGCGTTTTGAGTACAAAGGGAGACCATGAGGCTGGAGCAGTCACAAGGGCATATGTTAGGCTCAGCCTCAAAGGCTGACCAAGTACACGAGGCCACAGTGACCCTCCCCTGCTTCTTTCCCAGGTGGTTCCGAGAGTGTATGGGCGCGTGGTGAGTAAGAGCCGGGAGGCGGTAGCCCAGGCCATCATGCTGGAGATGTTCCGAGAGGAAGACTACTACAATGACGATGTTCTGGACCAGATGGGTGCCAGTATCCTGGGTGTGGAGGGCCCCCGGCGCCACCCAGATGAGCCCCCCGAGGATGAAGTCTTTGAGCTCTTTCCTATATTCATGGGGGGACTTCTCTCTGCCCACAACCGGGCCGTGCTGGCTCAGCTTGGATGCCCCATCAAGAACCTGGATGCCGTGGAGAATGCCCAGGCCATCAAGAAGAAGCTGGGCAAGCTGGGCCGGCAGGTGCTGCCCCCGTCGGAGCTCCTTGACCACTTGTTCTTCCACTATGAGTTCCAGAACCAGCGCTTCTCGGCTGAGGTGCTCAGCTCCCTGCGCCAGCTCAACCTGGCGGGTGTGCGCATGACCCCCCTCAAATGCACGGTGGTGGCGGCTGTGCTGGGAAGTGGAAGGCACGCCCTGGACGAAGTGAACTTGGCCTCCTGCCAGTTGGACCCCGCTGGACTGCGCACACTCATGCCTGTCTTTCTGCGAGCCCGGAAGCTGGGGTGAGGACCTGTCCTCATGCACAGGCATGAAGAGGGAGGGGCTTGGAGGTGAAGAGGTGGGAAGAGAAGGGAAACCAGAGGTACCAAGGACCAGGGCATGGTAGGAAGTCTGGTGTGGGTGGAGGTGACAGGAGTGATGAAAGAAGGGAGGGTAGGTGTGGATTGCAAGATGCAGACTCATGAGAAAGGGCACAGTACATGGGCCCCCTCCATGCTGGGTCCTTCCTTGCCTTCTCACCTCCCCTCCGGCCACCTTCTGCTCCAGCTTGCAACTCAACAGCCTGGGCCCCGAGGCCTGCAGGGACCTCCGAGATCTGCTGTTGCATGACCAGTGCCAAATTACCACTCTGCGGTGAGTGCCCTGGGAGGGGCGTGGGAGGGAGAACTTGGCCATCCTGGTGGCCAGCTAAGGTCAAGGGTGAGCTCCCTGCCTCACAGCATTCCTGGCACAGGCCCACCCGTGGTATAGTCAAGGGGGCGTCTAGGCCCTGTCGTGCCCCATCAGGATCCATTATAAGCAGCAGGGCAGGGGAAAGATGCCACCTGTGATAGATGCTAAGAAAGCCTCTCATGTGGCTAAAATCAGTCAGGGGTAGGCGGAGGGAGAGGGTGAATGGTACCAGTTGCCTGGTAACAGTGCCACTGATCCCCTCCTAGGAGTCTCCTGCAGCTCAGGAGAATGACCCTGATGCCAGGCACTCAGTGGGTGCTCCCTGCACGTTGGCTGATGTGCCAGGAGCCCAGGTGGCTGGCTTCCAGTCCTAGTTGGAATACAGGAAGATGAATGAGGAGAGAGAAACAAAGAATCAGGGAAAGGATGGGGGTCAGGGAAAGGGAGGGAGAAGCAGAGGCTGGAGGGGCAGAAGGAGGGAAATAGTAACAGTGAAGGGAGGAAGGGGACATGGAGAAACGGAGAAGGGAGGAAGGGAGAGGTGGGAAGAAGCCAGCTCTCCCTCACTCTTCCTCCTCCTGGGGCGCGACACTCCCGTTTCTCCATCCCCTCCTCCTGGGCCTGCATTCTGTGTGCCAGCTCTGTCCTGCCCCAGGCTGTGCCCCCTTTGGCCCAAGTCCTAACACCCAGCACAGGGCCTCTGCAACGGCCCCCCTAACGTTGGGTTGCCTGTGGTCACAGGCTGTCCAATAACCCGCTGACTGCCGCCGGTGTCGCCCTGCTGGTGGAGGGGCTGGCGGGAAACACCTCGCTGACACACCTGTCCCTGCTGCACACGGGCCTTGGGGACGAGGGCCTGGAGCTGCTGGCTGCCCAGCTGGACCGCAACCGGCAGCTGCAGGAGCTGAACGTGGCCTACAACGGTGCTGGTGACACGGCGGCCCTGGCCCTGGCCAAGGCTGCCCGGGAACACCCTTCCCTAGAACTGTTACAGTGAGTCCTGTCCCCAATCCCCTTGTCCCAGCCCTTCAGTCTCCTTCCCTCTCCACTGTGCTCTCCCTACCCTAGGGAGTGCGTCCGGGCCGGAGCCTGGGCCTGGCGCCTGTCCTCCATTCTTGGCTTTTTTGTTTATTTGTTTGTTTGAGACAGAGTCTCGCTTTGTTGCCCAGGCTAGAGTGAGTGCTGTAGCGTCAGCCTAGCTCACAGCAACTCAAACTCCTGGGCTCAAACAATCCTACTGCCTCCGCCTCCAGAGTAGCTGGGACTACAGGCATGTGCCACCATGCATGGCTAATTTTTTCTGTATATATTAGTTGGCCAATTAATTTCTTTCTATTTATAGTAGAGACGGGGTCTCGCTCTTGCTCAGGTTGGTTTCAAACTTCTGAGCTCAAACGATCCGCCCGCCTCGGCCTCCCAGAGAGCTAGGATTACAGACATGAGCCACCGCGCCCGGCCCATTCCTGGCTTTTGATGGATCCTTATCAACCCACTTCTGAGCCAACCCGCCACCTCTGTGACTGGCCCTTCCCTGCCCTGATTCCTTCTCTATGATCATTTTTCCCCGAGGCCTACTATCCCTGGTCCCACTGAATGCTAGTGTCAGTGCCAACCTCCCAGTGGCCGCCACCCTCCATCTCTGGCCTACTGCAGACACTTACCCCACGTGTCCCGCAGGCAAGAGGCGAGTTGTGAGCCCTCCTGACCTTCTGGCCATCTACCCTGGGGTCCTCCTTCTCAGAGTCCTGCTGAATGGCACCTACTTTATCTCTCCTGCCAGTCTCTACTTCAATGAGCTGAGCTCAGAGGGCCGCCGGGTCCTGCGGGACTTGGGGAGCGCCACTGAAGGCGGTGCTCGGGTCGTGGCGTCGCTGACAGAGGGGGCAGCAGTGTCTGAGTACTGGTCGGTGATCCTCGGTGAAGTCCAGCGGAACCTCCACAGCTGGGATCGGGCCCGAGTCCGGCGCCACCTGGAGCTGCTGCTGCGGGATCTGGAAGACAGCCGGGGTGCCACCCTTAACCCTTGGCGCAAGGCCCAGCTGCTGCGAGTGGAGGGCGAGGTCAGGGCCCTCCTGGAGCAGCTGGGAGGCCCTAGAAGCTGAGACGGTAGCAGCAGGCACCTAGCTGTGTGACCACTGGCTGCAAAACCCTTCCCTCTGGGGCCTCCTGGCTTGCACTACCCTTTCTAGAAAGATCCCTTTAGGCCTAGAGGCAAAGGAACGGGCACAGCTGTGCCAGGTGCCCTCCTGGGGCATGTCCAACCAGTACCCCCAAGTCTGGAGTTTCTGGGGTCAAAGATGGTGAATTGATGCTTCAGGCTCGGAGGTGGAACATGCTTCCCCTCCCTTCGGCTAGAAGGACCAAAGGATGTGGCATTTGGGTGGCCAGATTGCCCTGTGGCACCACCACCAATCTTGCCTCTTCCTCCTCTCAAGGAGCCTCTGATTGTTCCACCAAGGGGCACACTTCCCATGCTAGGGATGTCACCATTCAGATGTGTTGGAGGGCCCTCCCCTCCTGCCCTGTGCTTACCTGTGGACACAGAGGATGCCTCACATTGGTGCTTTCTCCTTGCCCTCCTGTCCCCTTTACCACAGCGGTACCAGTGGCTCAGTGGCACCTCTGGACAGATGTACCTGACTTGCTGCTATTAAAACCTGTGTGTCTCCCCCCTACTGTGGCCTTCTCTTCCTTGCCTGGTGCTTCCAAGAAAGGGCATTGTTCCTGGTCATTCTGGTTAAACTACTGACCACATTCTGTTGCAAGTGGCTCTTAGGCACTAGGTTCAGAGGAGGTGGGGGCTGGAGGGGCCCATGAACAAGACATTGGGATGGAGGTTGGCCATGCTGGGCCATGGAGCTCCTATCACCCTTTTCATACTGAGCCCCCAAGCTTAGGATGACAGTGACCAGCAATCTGCCTTTCTCTGTGTAGAGGGGCAGCTGGGGCAGCTGCTGGGTCTCCAGAAAAAGTTGGCGCCCAGGAATGGGGGCAGGAGGAACCTGCACGCTTGCCCAGAGCATAAGACTCTCACTCTCCCGTTAACCATTACCCCATTGCTTCCACAACAGTGTCTTCAAGGAGGCGGGACTTGGGAGGGGGTAGGTGAGCTCCTTGGGATGGACCTTGTCCCTCCTCTGAGCACTGGGTGGCTGATCCAGCTATGAAGGCAGCTGCAGGTAGGAGGCCGGGAAAAATTCTCTGGAGGGGACCAGGGGCAGTCAGGGGACAAATTTGGAGGGTGAGGGTTTGGGACCAGGACATACTTAATGTTGGAGCTTGAAGCCCTGAGGCAAATAGAAGTTAGGAGAAGAGACGTGAGTTGATATGTCTGTCTTCCTGGTCTACACCACACCCTGTACAGATATGCTCAGATTTATGTGCCTAAGACTTAGAGGGAGGGGCGGGAAGGGGAGCACACAATATCCTGTGTGTGTGTCAGTGAGAAGCAAGACCCCTTTAAAGCATAACCGAGTGGGGTCTGGGTTTGGGGGCTCCCCCGAGTCTTTTCAGTTTATGACCATGGAAGAGGCATCGGGGGTGGGGGGGCAGGGGAAGACTGTACCTCTCCTCCTCTCACCCACTTCTTTGCGCAGTAGATCTTCCAGACGCAGCCTCGTTAACTCCGTAAGTGCCATTGGGGTTGGGGCAAGGGGAGGAAGGGGTCGGAGGGGGGAAGCTCTGCACTGCCATTCGCACCTAAAGTAGAGGGGGACCCAAGTCCAGCTGTCAGTATCCACCTGCTGCTTCTGCCTCCTTGCAGGAAGTTTAAGTTTAACCCAAAGCTGGGCATTGATAATCCTGTCCTCTCCTTGGCGGAAGACCAAGACCCCTCTGGTAACCCCCTCCCCCTGGCAACCATTCCCTTTCCCTGGATACGCCACAGCTCCACACAGCCTCCCATCTCCTTGGTAACCACTCACTCGGTCTCCCTCTGATGACAGCCTTGGTTGGGAGTGACTGTGGAGAGAGGAGGGGCTGGGTGTTTCCTTCTGACAGTGTTCACCCTGCTGCCCAACACCTGACTGGGTGGAAGCACCCAGTGCCCTGTCAGGACTCAAGGTTTGCCAGTCACACGGTGGACCTGTGCTTGGGCCATGCCGTCTCTCCTCCCCCTCCAGACCCCTGGAGCCTGGAGCGGCCTCACTTCTGTCTGCTGAGCAAAGAGGAGGGCAAGGGTTTTGGCTTCCACCTGCAGCAGGAGCGGGGCAGGGCTGGGCATGTGGTGTGCAGGGTGGAGCCAGGCACCTCTGCCCAGCGCCAGGGTCTCCGGGAAGGAGACCGGATCCTGGGGGTGAACAGTGATGTCGTGGAACACGAAGACTATGCGGTGGTAAGGCTGGGCCGGGACTCCTTGTGGGACAGAAGAGTATTCCACAGCACTTCAGGGACAGAAGTGGGCTGGGTACCTCCCTGGGCACTATGGCGGCAGGGTGCAAGCCTTGCTCCCCCCACATTTAGGAGTGCCTGGGTAAGAAGGGTTGGGGAGAGCATCTAGAGAGCTGGTTCTCATGGCAAAGAACATGGGTTCCAGGAAGGTCCTAGAGGTTGGCAAGAGGGGCCAGCCCAAACCTCTCCCCCATGTGTGTAGGTGGTACGCCGCATCCGGGCCAGCGGTCCTCGGGTGTTGCTGACAGTCTTGGCGGGGCATGTGCATGATGTGGCCAGAGCTCAGCACGGCGACAGTGCCCACCTCTGCCCTACCCTAGGCCCCGGGGTGCGGCCCCGGCTCTGCCACATAGTGAAAGATGAGAGTGGCTTTGGCTTCAGTGTCACCCATGGTGAGCTTAGAGGTTTGGATGGGTGGTGAGGAGGGGGTCTCAGTCCCTGTTCCAGGCAGGCAGCAGACTGGAACTTGCTTTTTTTTCTCGCTTCCAGGTAATCAGGCTCCTTTCTGGTTGGTGCTAAGTACTGGAGGAGCAGCTGAGCGGGCAGGGGTGCCCCCTGGGGCCCGACTGCTGGAAGTGAATGGGGTCAGTGTGGACAAGCTCACTTACAAACAACTCACCAGGAAGGTATGCTGCCTGTTTCCCCACGCATACCCCCACCCCCAGTCTGGGCCTGGCCCCGCCTCAGGAAGCAGACTCCTTCCCCAGCACCTACTCTCCTGATCTGATCTCCTACTTCCGTCCTGTCACCACTGTTCCCTTTGCACTGCGCACCAGCCCCCTGCTTAGTGCCTCATTCTCCTGCCTGGGGGGAGGAGCTGCCTGCCTCTTCCCTCCCTACCCTGCTAGTTGATGCTGATGCCCTGCTGGGTCCCCACAGCTTTGGCAGAGTGGAGAGCAAGTGACCTTGCTGGTGGCAGGGCCAGAGGTGGAGGAACAGTGTCGCCAGCTGGGAATGCCCCTGGCTGCACCCCTGGCAGAGGGCTGGGCACTGCCAACCAAGCCCCGCTGTCTGCACCTAGAGAAAGGGCCCCAGGGCTTTGGGTTCCTGCTCCGGGAGGAGAAGGGCCTTGATGGTCACCCTGGTAAGTGAGAGCCCTGTGGGTGGGTAGGGAAGGTGGGCGTCGGGGTGGGCACACAGAGTATACACCTCTCAGCGCACATAAGAGGTATACCTGTCTGAGCCCAGGCCCCGGGTCTTCTCCTGCACCCCCAGGGTCAGGCCCCCAGGGGCCTGAGACAGCACTGGGGTAAGCCGGGGAGGAACAGTGAGGGTATCTATGTCCCAGGGCAGTTCCTGCGGGAGGTGGACCCTGGACAGCCAGCCGAGAAGGCTGGGATGCAGGCTGGGGACCGACTGGTGGCTGTGGCTGGGGAGAGCATGGAAGGGCTAGGCCACGAGGAAACAGTGTCCAGGATCCGGGCGCAGGGCTCCCATGTCTCCCTGATTGTCGTCGACCCTGAGGCTGACCGATTCTTCAGCATGGTGTGTACTGTGGGGCAGGGGCGTGGCGGGGCAGGGGTGGAGTGGGGCTCAGCTACAACAGGTTTGCTTTTCCTGCCTCCTCCCAGGTTCGCCTGTCCCCACTCCTCTTTTTGGAGAGCACAATGGCTCCTGCCTCTCCCCACGACACCTGCTCAGCCTCTCTGATTGAGACTGCAGACCCACAACTTGCAGACACAGCTGAATGTCCTGGCTCTCTGGGCTCCCACCAGTGCATCCTGTACCCTGGGCCTGGCGGCAGCTATGGCTTCCGACTCAGCTGTGTGGCCATGGGGCCTCATCTCTTCGTCTCCCAGGTGACTGATGCCCAAGGACCTTGGGTCCTTTGCATCACTTGCCTCCTGATCAGTCTTCCTCTGCCTTGCACCCAGAGCTTTAGAGTGCCCAGCAAGCTTTTCCATGGTGTTCCATGTTCTGCATCCCCCCATCACCAGGTGACTCCAGGTGGCTCAGCTGCCCGGGCAGGGCTGCAAGTGGGAGACGTGATTCTGGAGGTGAACGGGGATCCTGTGGGTGAAGATTATGACCTGGAAAGGCTTCAGCAGCTGGCTGAGGCCGAGCCACCCCTCTGCCTGAAGCTAGCAGCCAGGTCCCGGCAGGGCTGGGAAGCCTGGATTCCCCCAGGCTCTGGAGAGGTGAGGGAGAAGAAACTGGTGCCACTCTGAGGAGCCAGAGAAGGCAGAGAGGAGCCAGAAAGAAGGAAGAGAGGGCAGGAAGGCTGCAGGGTGCAGTGTGGGATACGCAGGTTGGGTCATGGTAGGTGGGGACAGAAGGACCCGTGGGGACACAATCCCCATCCGTGGACATTCCAGGGAAGGGAGGGGCAGGGAAAAGGAACTCTTCTGGTCCTAGAATGACCTTCTCCCTTCTGTCTCTGCATAGGATCAGGCTCTGGCCTCAGAACTGCTGTAAAGTGCCCCTGCTTGGCACAGTTCAACCCGCTGGCTTTCCTGTCTTCACTCTCCAGCCTGAGACGCTCTCTCCAAGCTAGAGGGCTGGAGCCCTAGGACTCAGACACCACCGGTCACAGTGTTGCCCAGGGCCTCCCTCCCTCCCCATGACCTGCCTCCCAGAAGAGGGTGTGGTCAGAGGTCTCAGGCCCATGAGGGAGCCCAGGACCCAAGAGATGTCATAAGGGAGCATTGGAGAGCTATGCCCCAAGGTGAAGTTGTGGGCTGTGGGGCATGCTAGGATTTTTTTTTTTTTTTTTTTTTTGCCTTTAGGCTGCAGCTTCCCCACCCTGACAGAGGATTGTAGCCATCTGGGCTTTGCCTTATGTATGACTCCAGGATCTTTGAATGCAATGCAAGAATTTGGAAACCAGCTATACCTTCCCTCTGTAGGCATTTTGGGATTGTCAGGGTGGTGCCTGGTCACTGTTGAATTTGTTATAGAAACGGCCATTCCCCATAAATCTGGCTGCCTGCGTTTGTGTTGGTGGGGGTGAGGGGCAGCGGACTTGAGGATGCACCATGTTGTTGTCTTTGATGCGCCTCCTGATCTGAAGCATTGGAGACACAAGGTCTCTTAGTTTACACTGCAGAAGAATCCCACCCCAGGCTCAAGGGGTGGGACCCAGTTTCTGTAGGAGAGGCGTTGAGACTTGGTTAAATTTCTCTTCTCTCCTCAGTCTCCAGGATAATGGGTAAGCCCTGAACCGAGATGTCTCCGTGAGAGCCATTCCTCTCTGTCAAAAGGCCACAGCCCACAGCTCTGTTGAGTTCTATGTCAAGAAGCTTTATTGCTGGGGCCTCAGAGGACCCCAGAGATGACAGTCTGGTAGCCTCAAAGATCCAGGGGGTTGAGTCCAAACTGGTGCAGCTGCTCCTTGTACCTGGCGTGCAGTGTCAGCACAGCCCTGTCCCACTGAGGCTTGATGGTTCTCAGCTTAGCCAAGAGCTGGTCCAGGCTGCCCTGCAGACACCAAGATTTCAGCCCCCAGGAAGAGAAACGGCAGGGGTGAGGGTTGCCCCATGTTTGTCTGTAAGGTTTCCTTGCCAATGTTTTCTTGAAATCCTTATTCTGAGCCGGTAAGGACAGTTATATCTTCTGTTTGCCCCAGGATGGAGCAGGCAGAATGGTGCACATTCTTGTCCTGACCCCCTAGCCCCTGCCCCTCAGCGCACACCATGCTGAAGAAGCATCCCTTGGAGATGCTTCTCCTCCTTACCCCTGGGTTGTGGCATGGAGGCGTGCTGGGCGTTGGGGAGGCTGGGCTCCACAGGGTGATGCTTACATGTAAGATTTCCTCATACTTGGCCTCCATGTCTGCCACATGGGCCCGAAGCTGAGCTAGAGTCTGGTCTCGCTCTCTGAGGGCTTGCTCAGCCTCTTCTCGTGCAGCCTCCGCCTCCCTCTGGCATGTCTCTGGGGGTGGGGCAGAGGATGAAAAAGAACAGAATGGTGATGCTCTACCCTTGAACAGAATCTCCAAAGGTATCTAAAAAGGGGATCTTGAGTGGGATCATTCCAGACTCCCACAGGGTCATCAACCTTCAAGTAGTCCCTGTAAAAGCTGAAGCTCCATTGTTTGAGGTGTCATACATAGTGGTGGCTTGGGACGGGAGATGGGTCTAAAGTCTGGTTGTTACTCACTACTTAGGTAACCTTGGGAAAATCTCTCTCTGAGTCTCAGTGTCTTTAAAAACAGACTGATACATACCTCACAGGCTCCCTGTGACCTTTATTTTTTTTTATTTTTTATTTTTTTTGAGATAGAGTCCCGCTTTGTTGCCCAGGCTAGAGTGAGTGCCGTGGCATCAGCCTAGCTCACAGCAACCTCAAACTCCTGGGCTCAAGCAATCCTGCTGCCTCAGCCTCCCAAGTAGCTGGGACTACAGGCATGCGCCACCATGCCCAGCTAATTTTTTCTATATATATTAGTTGGCCAATTAATTTGTTTCCATTTTTAGTAGAGATGGGGTCCCGCTCTTGCTCAGGCTGGTTTTGAACTCCTGACCTCGAGCAATCCGCCAGCCTCGGCCTCCCAGAGCGCTAGGATTACAGGCGTGAGCCACCGCGCCCGGCTTCCCTGTGACCTTTAAACGTGATAATGGACGGCAAAGCACCTAGTGTATAGGAGGTGCCCAATAAACATTGATTGACTTTGAATTGGACATAAGGCAAAGGTTAGGAAAGGAACCCAGGGTCTGCGTGACAGACAAGCAGCTCCATGAACATCCACAGCTAAACTGAAGATATTTTAGGAAAAGAAAACTATGAGGCCAAAGTTGTGAAAGTCCTCAAGTGTCACACTCAGATATTGCAACATTTTTCTGTAAGCAAGGGGGAAGAGAAGCAAAGGCTTCCTGTTTTTAATATTTTCACTTATTTATTTGGCAAACAAACCAGGTGCTAGGACCTGAAAATATAGAAGTGAATGAGTCTTACATTTTCATTTCACTGAAAAATCAGCTAAACTAAGAGAGAATATATTTTGCTCACAAGAGACATGGCAGTGGTGTGGAGTTAGGGCTTGATTTGGAGAGACCAAGCAAAGGGGGAAATGGGGTGAGAGACCTACCTCTTCTTTCCTTGCGACTTAGAGATTCTTGCCACCCCAAACCTCTGCTCTGGTTCTCAGTGGCGGAGAGCCAATGGTGATCCCAGAGCCCAGACTGCAGCCTTCTAGAGAGGGGCCTTCCAAGTCTACCCCTTGACTCCTTCACATGCTGGCTTTTGTCAGGACCCTTGGAAGGAAAGGGCTGGGAGGGAGGGGAAGCCTACCCAGCTGTGCCCGAAGGCCCCTCACTTCTTCCTCCAGCTGTTTGCTGCGGGTCTCCATCTCCTCCCTCAGGGCCCGACACTGGCGACTCATCTCTGGGGTGGGGGGAGAGGGATGGAGAAAGGAAATAAAGCTGAGGGTGGGGAAGGCTGCTTGGTCTAGTGGGGCAGCAGTACAAAGCCTTCTAGGTTCTTGAGATTCTGAAAAGCTGGGAGACCCTGAAAACCTGGCAAAGGGATAGGAAACCAGACCCCCTTCCCCCACTCCAGTTAGGATGGGCATTCTAGTCCTTCTCCCTACCTATGGCATGAATGAGACAATGGCTGTGGCTGCATTTTGTATCCCACAAAGCGTCAAGCATGTGGCATCAGGCACCCTGGAAGGCAAGTCCCTGCCTGGGATCTCAGAGACCTTCCTTTGGTTCCTTTAGGATCCCACCTGATTTGTACTATTTGCACTGAGCAGGGGAGGTCCAGACTAGACCTGGCAGATGCCCTCCTTTTCCTTTCCTTGCATCCTTTGGCCCTCTTAGTTGTACTCCTCCAGGCCCCTATCTCCTGCCCACCTGCTCAACGGACCACATACCTGCATATATGGCCTTCCCTTCACTCCAGGCCCCTTCCAGGTCAGCCTCCAACCCGCGCAGCCTCTGCCTCAGCTGGTCCTCAGAAGCCTTAGCTCGGCGCGCCTCATCCCTGCGTAGAGCTGTGAACAGTCCCAGAGCTGTCCTCAGGACTGGCTGGGAGTTCCTCTGCATCAGCTCTGTGGGCTTGATAGAGTCTGGAAATCTGGCTGTAGGACATCTGGGAACTCCCCCCTCACCCCAATCTCACAGGCTCTTCATTTCTAAGAAGTAAAAACTCCATGTTCTGGCTGTAAAAAATAGCTTCTTTCATCAACCCTCACTGCCCACCCTCCCTTTGCAGTCTTTTCCCACTAGAAGATGGTTACAGTCGGCTTAGCCCCCCACCATAGCTCTAACCCTCCAATCCCCAAGGGCACGGAAATGCCCCATTGTGCTGTCCCTAGTCCTGCCCCCAGCTGCCACCCTGCTTACCCAAGTGATCTCTGAGCAGCTCATTCTCCAGCATCACCAGCCTGAGCCTGGACTCGGCCTCCACATCTGCCCTGGCAAGTTGGCAGAGGCTTAGCTTGTCCTGACCTCACCACCCCCCTCCTGTCCTCACCCAACACCTTGCACGTCCTTCCCAAAGGAGATCCAAGGACCACTAAAGGAGGGATCCGATGGCAGTCTACTGGGGCCACCACTGTGTCCTCATTGCCCAGGACATAGCACAAAATATGGGTGACGACTATATTAGGAGGGCACAGAGCTAGATGGGCCTCAAGGGAGAATGTGGGTGACCATTTCCCCAGTTCCTTGGCTCCACAGATGTGGATTCGAGGATATGAAGAGGAGGGTCAGGAGAGCTCATCTGTCACTCAGAGGGCTGAATTCTCTCCAGAGGACTTCTGCTTGGTCTTCGTGCCAGAATGTGGAGAAGCAGAGCCACCCACTTCCACCCACCACGACTCACCATCACCCGAGTTCTTTTTCTTCTTCTGTGCCCCAGCTTTCCTCCCTTTTTCTTTGGTCTTAGGTGGCATCTCCTTGCTGTCCTGGGAGAGGGAGGGGACCTTGTGTTTGGGTCTGGACACGGGGATGCTTTTCTGACCACTAAGCTGAACCAGGAGTCTCAGGAGAGCCGGAATTCTAGTCTCCAAGTCTATCTTTTTTTTTTTTTTTTTTTTTTGAGATGGAGTCTTGCTCTGTTGCCCAGGCTAGAGTGCCATGGCATCAGCCTAGCTCAGAGCAACCTCAAACTCCTGGGCTTAAGTGATCCTTCTTCCCCAGCCTCTGGAGTAGCTGGGACTATAGGTGTGCCCCACCACACCCAGCTAATTTTTTCTATTTTTAGTAGAGATGGTGTCTCGCTCTTGCTCAGACTGGTCTTGAACTCCTGACCTCAAGTGATCCTCCCTCTCAGCCTCCCAGAGTGCTAGGATTACAGTCATAGGCTACTGTGCCTGGCCTACAAGTCTATCTTTTATTTATTTATTTATTTATTTTTGAGACAGAGCCTCGCTTTGTTGCCCAGGCTAGACTGAGTGCTGTGGTGTCAGCCTAGCTCACAGCAACCTCAAACTCCTGGGCTCAAGCAATCCTGCCCCAGCCTCCCGAGTAGCTGGGACTACAGGCATGTTCCACCATGCCTAGCTAATTTTTTCTACATATATTAGTCAGCCAATTAATTTCTTTCTATTTTTAGTAGAGATGGGGTCTCGCTCTTGCTTAGGTTGGTTTCGAACTCCTGACCTTGAGCAATCCGCCCGCCTTGGCCTCCCAGAGTGCTAGGATTACAGGTGTGAGCCATCGTGTCTGGCCAATCTTTTATACTCTCTAGAAAATTCAGTTCTTGGTCTCTTTGGGATCTTAGGCAGGGCTGGGGTCAAGTGGGGAGGACGGAGTTGTTTCTCTCTACTGGGCAGGAGGGTCTATGTACAGAAGTCGTTCTTCTCAATACTCTTTTAGAGAAAATAAACCTCTACCTGGTCCCCTCCCTCTTCCTTTCATCCTTACCCTGCCTCTTCCTACCTGTAGGGTCTTCTCTTGCCTGTGTTGGGTTTCCCGGTGCAGTGAGCCCCTCTTGGGAAGGGGCAGAGAGAAGGACCAACCAGCTGGAAGCCTGAGGAGGAGCCTGGGTTCCGGGAGCCAATCCAGGGTGGCAGATTTCTCTCAGGGGCAGGACTGAGAGCTGGAAGGTTGGGTTTCTGGAGGCTGCTTGTTGCCCAGACAACTGGGAAACATGGAGTTCAGAGGAAGGTGGAATGGGCTAAATCAGCTCACACAGCTTAAAATATCAAGGTCCCAATGGGTCAATTCTCTTCTTATCCCCAAATCCTAAGTGTAGTTTGAAGATAAAGGGCTTTGGAGCCGATTAGCTATGATTCACTTCCATGCAGGCACTGCCTGCAATTTGGAGACTTACAAATTACAGATTTGCGCATCTGAGATAATACTGTTGTGCTGATACAGAGGAACAGGACTGGCAGTTGCCATCTTGGGTAATTTACATCCTGAGGTCCCATAAGCAAAGCAACATTATTAGGCTTAAAACAGGAGATTCCCTTCAATAAGGCATTCTACAGTATATGAAGGAAATAAATGCAGGAGCAGGTAGTTGAGAGAGTTTCCCACTTCTGAGAAATGAGGCACAGAGGAGAGGTGGACCCAGGGATGCCAGGGTACTGGCCTAGGGGAATGCGAATGTCAAAAGGGCCCTGGTTAGAGAACAGAGACATGAGCCTTGGGTTCTAGTGCCCCTCTCAATATGTAAACGCGGGTAAGCCATTTAACTTGGCTCAGCCTCAGTTTCCTGATTTTTATTTTATTTTATTTTATTTTATTTTATTTTATTTTATTTTATTTTATTTTATTTTTTTGAGACGGAGTCTCACTTTGTTGCCCAGGCTAGAGTGAGTGCCGTGGCGTCAGCCTAGCTCACAGCAACCTCAAACTCCTGGGCTCAAGCAATCCTGCTGCCTCAGCCTCCCGAGTAGCTGGGACTACAGGCATGCGCCACCATGCCTGGCTAATTTTTTCTCTATATATTAGTTGGCCAATTAATTTCTTTCTATTTTATAGTAGAGACAGGGTCTCGCTCAGGCTGGTTTTGAACTCCTGACCTTGAACAATCCGCCTTCCTCGCCCTCCCAGAGTGCTAGGATTACAGGCGTGAGCCACCGCGCGCCCGGCCAGTTTCCTGATCTTTAAATCTTTGAATCTGTAGATCCTAAAAAGCCTGGGTTTTAAGTGGGTATTTACATGGCTACTTTCTCTCCTAGTGACTTAAAGTATGGCCACACTTCCCCATTCTCTCCTGCCGCTGATTTTCAGACAGGTGTTAAGAAACCGCTTTGTGGAGGATATAGTTGGTTGGGGCTCCCTCTAGTGGACTTGCTTGGCCTCCTCCTGAATCTCCTAAATTTTGTTTTCAATTATTTATTGGGCAGTGGGGTGATTTCCTTTTGAGGATACTTTTTAGCATCTTGCTGCAGTAATGAGTGGCTGGAAAAACAAATATGGGGGAGAGAGTATGACAGGCGGCTTGCCCTTGTTAGGCAGTCCCCATCCTCCCTCCAGCCTGTGCTGTCCTGGAGCCTTGCCAGCTATCTGCTGCCTGGATCTCTGGGCACCATACTAGTGAGAATGAAAACAGGAAAAACTTCAGTGCTTTTCTCCTCATGGATTAAGGGACCTGCAGACTCTGGGTACTTCTCTTCATCCCTTTCCCCCAAACATTTTTGATCCATTGCCTATTGTCAGGAGCAGACCTGTAGAAATAGCTATGAGATCTGACAATGAAAAGTCCTTTCTCTGGGCAGTAGGTAGATTCAGGCAGAGGCTGATTCATGTTCGTCAGTCATCTTGGCGGCTACTGGTACTTATCAAACCCTTTGGATATTTTAGAGAGCAAAGAGAAGAACCAGGTTTGTCTTTCCAAGTGCTTACAGCTCATACAACTCAGTTAACCTTGTGCACATCTCCCAAATCTGGAGAATACTTTTCTTCTAATCTTTAAATATATTTTTTATTTATTGGCCCTCCAGAACCCCTCCCCCCTCCCTTGAAATGCAGTGGGGGAGTTTCTGTTCTCACCCTTCTCACCTAGAGGCCTGTTTGCAGACTTTTTCCATGGGATGTTTAGTGTCTCCATTATGCCTGTTAGCCTAAAGAAAAAACCTGAGGCAAACTTAATATAAGTAGAGAGTTTATTTGGGCCAAGTTAAAGGACTGCAACCTGGGAGCATAGATAAGTTGCCCTGACAAACATCTGTTACAAGTGGGAAAAGAAGAGGCAGTTCCTAAGTTGTTTACCAAGAATATAAATTAAAATCACCAGGTGCAGTGGCTGATGCCTGTAATCTCAGCACTTTGGGAGGCAGAGACAGGAGGCTCGCCTGAGGCCAGCCTGGGCAACACAGTGAGACCCCATCTCTACAAAAACCAAGAAAAATTACCTGGGTGCGGTGGCGTGTACCCATAGTCCCAGCTACTTGGGACGTTGAGGCAGGAGAATTGCTTGAACCCAGGAATTTGAGGCTGACATAGGCTATGAGCACACCATTGCACTTTAGCCTGGGACAGAGCAAGACCCTGTCTCTAATTAATAAATTTTAAAAAAGGAATTTACATTAAAATGACATAAGCTATTGATTAGCTATACATTGGTCTTTATATCACAGATTCCAGGAAGGAGAAAATAATGGGTGAGGCAGCTAGTGAGGAACAAAATGCTTTTAAACAATTGCTCCCAGGCATAGGTGCAGGGGGTGGGGTGTGACTGAAGTCCCGTATTAATGTCTCTCAGATAAACTTTGCATACCTCAAATAGCTCAGACTGCCCTGAGCTATTTTTCTTTTCTCATGCTGATGCATGAAATGACATATTAGAATATAGATTACAGAATGCAAGCAAGGTATCATGCCTCGGAGGAGCATTTACTTTACAAACATGTTCAGTCAACCGACTTTCAGGTGCAGAATGAGGATGTGGTTTGGGGTGAAGGTGAAGTGGGATAAGAAAAGTGCCACATGTCACATGATATGATACAAGAGGAACCAGCTCTATAGCACAAACCAGAATGGGAATGACATTGTGATCAATAATCCAGTTCCATCTTTAGTACATTTTCAAAAACAAGCTAAATAAAAATTATGGCAAAAAAGGTCAATCTTTCTTTTTTCATTAACCTCAGTTTAGAAGTGACAATAGGAAAGATCATTCCAGCAGAACTCTGTTTTCCTTTGAATAAGATCATGCCCATCTGGGAGTTTTGAAGAGATATAGAGGACAGAAGGGTCACTCTTTCTGTTTTATTCAAATGTGAGAGATAGGTCATTTGTATGTTCAAAGAAATATGGCTTTCTGCAGCAGAAACAGTGTACATTATATAATTCCATGTTGTGCAGATCTTATTGAAGATAATAAAAATTGGAAGCCTTAAACCAAGCCAGAGATGTGTAGTGCATACCTAGACAAGCACATACACAGTTCTGTAGGTTAATTTCTTACCTATATGCCATTAAATATAGGATTTGACTATGAAAACTACCCTTGTGCACCTATACTGTGCTAGGTACTATGGAAGATCCAAAGTCAACAAGAAAGTACAGCATAAATTAATGTGTGGTAGTTGTAAGAAATGAATGGGTTTAGAAATTTAGAGAAGGAAAATATTCCTTCTACCTGGAATGTCTGATAAGAAGGACAATATTTGAGCTGAGTTTTGAAGAATGGATTGGATATTAGAAACACACTTCAGGCAGAGGGAATGCTCTGAGTAATAGTGAAGAAAAAAGAAAGAATTGTGATATTTTATGACTTGGTGAGTCACTCAGCATATGATATATGTATTAGAGAGTAGTGTAAAACTGCAAGGTAGTTCAGTTTGGAGTTGGATCAATTTTATTGTTAGTTTTATTCCGGAGGCAATAGGGAGCGTTTAAAGTTATTTTTTTGTAATGATGTGGAACTATAGGAAGTATATGGTGGTGGGAAGCATAGCAGGGAAACTAGTGAGGAAAAGATTTCAATAGTCCAGGGGAAAGAAAAGGAGGACCTGCAACTAGGTTGGTGGCACTAGGGATGGAAAGCCTTGACAATTATCTAAGAGCTTTGCCTAGCTTTTCCCGTGGTAGATTCTCCTCTTTCCAGAAAGGAACTGATAAAAAGAAATTTGACTGATAGGAAATGATAATGTTGACTTTAAAATCAATTTTAGATAAAAGCGATTGAATTGCAAACCCAGGATGCTTGGCTGAACAGTCCTTGATTTCAAAGATATTTCCCCCGCTGATAAAATTCCCTAATCAGTCAGGGCTTAGTGGAAGAGCCGGACGGAACTTATTGACAGATCTGGTTCTGCAAACTCCCAAAGCGGAGGCTCAGAATTAGCAAATTAGGGCAGGGCACTTCTTTGGAAGGGAAGTTCCTATCTTCAAAGTTCTTCCAACCCAACTTTTAGATTAGAGAAGTGGAAGCGACTGAGAGCGGAGCGAGGACCCCTTTGGCCAGCGACAGCAGCGGTGTCACAATTTCTTTGGGCGGGGGGGCCTTTTCCTGGCGCAGCTGACCTGTAGCGCAACAGTGCAATGCGCTGAGCAGGAGAATCTTAAGTACATATTCTCAGAAAATCAGAAAAGGAACTAGTCATCTAGTCTTCACAAGCAAGCAAAAAAAAAAAAAAGGAAGTGCTTTGTTTGGAAGAAGAGCTCGGTGGCCAGAGTGTCCCAAGCCTTTCTGGTGCCTAATCCGCAACATTCACATTCTTGTCCTTGGTGGCGTCTTGGTGAGCAGTTAAAATTACTAGGCAGTGGAGAAATAACTTTTCCTTTTTTCCCCACCCTCCTCCCACAATGTGAAGCAACAAATAACTCGAAGCTCAATTTCCTCATTTGTCAAGTGTGGGGGAAAGACTTGAGGTTAAGACACTTCCCATCGCTACCTGTCTTAATTTATACATGCCACAGACCCCCTCCGGGAGCGCCACCCTCCAGCCCGCAAGGAACATGGAGGGCTCGGCTCAGGCCTTGTGCGCAGACTCCACGTTGGAGCCGCCCCCGCCTCTCCAGCAGAGGGCGCAGGCACGGAGGTTCCGCCGGCCCCGCCCCGGGCTGGCCCCGCCCCGGCCCGCCCCCGGGGTAGGGGCGGGGGAGAGCGGCGCGGAAACTTGTCGGTGGCTTTCCCGGAGCTGCGGGCGGCGGGGGAGCGGGTGGCGCAGGGGGCGTCGCTGCCCACTCCGGCCGCTGCCGGCCGCCTCCCGGAGCTCGCCAGTCAGCCCGTGAGTCTCCGGCGCGCGCCCAGAGCACTCCGCCTGCCCGGGCTCGCTCTCGGGAGGGGCGCGCCCCGCGCTTCCCCGGCGCCGCCCACTCTCCTCCCCGCGGCCGCTCCTCCCTCCGCCCGGATAGCCGGCGGCGGCGGCGGCGGCCGCGAGAGGCCCCTCCTTCACGCCTTCCTTCTTTCGCTCGCTAGCAGCCGAGCGGAGCCGGCGGACCCGGCGGGGCCCCCAACCTTTCCCGGCCATGGCCGGCAACGTGAAAAAGAGCTCCGGGGCCGGGGGCGGTGGCGGCTCCGGGGGCTCGGGCTCCGGAGGCCTGATCGGGCTCATGAAGGACGCCTTCCAGCCGCACCACCACCACCACCACCTCAGCCCCCACCCGCCGGGGACGGTGGACAAGAAGATGGTGGAGAAGTGCTGGAAGCTCATGGACAAGGTGAAAGGCCTGCGCAGGACCCGCGGGAGCAGGGTGGGCGTGGGCGGAGGGCCGCGGGGAGGGGAAGCGGCGGCCAGAGGAAGCTGGGGGAGGGGACGGGTCCTGCGAGGCTGCGGAGGCGAGGAGCTGGGGTGACCGGCCGAGGGGCGGGGGCTGGGGGACTTGGGGGTGGGGAAGAGACCGGGAAGGTGGGGGTCGGCGGTGGGGAAGGGCTGCGGTTGGGGGTGGGGGAACGTTGAGGTGTCGTGTTTGGGGTGGCGAGACAAAGATGGGGTGGGGGCTGGGGCGAAGGTTAACTGGGAAGCCACGGGGCGGAAGTATGATGGGGGGTGTGGAGTTCGCGGCTCTGTGCAGGGTGTAGGGATGTGGGTCGCGGAATTGGCCGGGGGAGACAGGGGAGGAGGTGAGGAAGAGGGTTTGATTTACCGGCGAGGGCTCTAAGCTGGATGAGGAGTCGAGATGTGACTAGGGAATTACGTTCATGGGCTCTGATTGGAGAACCTGGGGTCCGGACAACTCCGCAGACAAACTGTGCTCTGGGTGAGCGTGTAGTTTTTTCCCATTAAGATGTAACACCAAGATAAACGAAACAGCGATGTTTAAATGGGGCAAGGAACTTCCCTCCACATCAAGAGCTGGCTCAAGTTTTTTGTTATCCTCTGAAACATTGGATGCGATCCATTGCTGGTGCTGAGATATGCACTGATTAAACCACAAGTTCTGGTTAGAACCATTATCTTCTGAAGGATGGGTTGACTGAGCCTGCTAAGCAGCAGATGCTGACTTCTGCATAACTTCCTCCCTACACACACTGGTTTTAGTTGGGTTCTTATTTTTAACGGGCCTGATTGCTTATTAAAGGACCTGACTTGTTCGATAAACTTCTTTGATTACCTTTTTTAAAAATAAGCAAGTTGGAAGAGAATAACTCCATATATTTAGCCACTGAGTTTGTCATTTGTAAGAATTTTACTTTCTTACAGTTGTGTCTGTATATGAAATATAGTAAGTAGTTAGTCCCAAGTACTCAAAAGGGTTTAAGCAGTCCACCGCTTTGGTAGATTTCAATAGAATGTTTTTTTGATATATTTCATATTCATTAGTTAATAACTTATTCCGGCAAAATTCATACTGCAGATGAAAAATGACTAGAAGGATCTGGCATGTTATGAGAGAATGGCGTTATTTCCTTCAGGGTAAAACTGTTTTTATTTGGTTCCTCTCTGGGTCGTCTAGGTTCCTCTTCTGTAAAATTCTTCATGGGTTGTTTTGGAATAGAAACAGCTAATAAAATGATTATGAAGCTCTTGGCAAATGTAAATGAGCTGTTTAAATACTTAGTAAGTCTAGTGTGTGAATTAAAAGTACTGTAGTGCATGCCAGTGGTTTCAGAGCCACTTTTTCAGGGCTGGTTTTTCTCATATTAAGTAATTGGTATTGTAATTAATGACACAGTGTTTGTGTTTGATTATACTGATGGTGTAGTACTAATTTTATTATTAGAAATTATAATAAAATTGTTATAGAAAAGTGAGATGTGTAAAGGAAACTTTAAATGTGTTGACTCCTTTAAAAAATATCAAATGCATTAAAAATCTGAAGTTTGTAGGCTTGCATTAAGGACTAAAATGGTTCCTCTGACATAGAAAAGATATTTACATTTCTAATTACTTTATCATATAAGATATGTGGATACTGTTTATCAAAATCAAACTTTTGTGTTTCTGTAAATAAAGGATAAATTATAGATAGTCCTGTTCCACAAGATATTATGAATAAAATCTTCCTTAAGTCTTACTCCTTCATCTCTTTAAAGTATGTGTATTGAATTTTGACCTCTTCTGTAGAATGTTTAATTATTTATTGAGGAATAAAGAGGTCTTAAAGTTTTTAGTCAAAATGCTTTTCAGGTTTTGATAATTTCAAGGAAAGTAGGCTTCTGGCTTTTCCATTCTAGTGTAGGGAGAGGTATATTTTATTTTTGTATTGCTTGCCTCAGAAGATGATTTTAGTACCATCTGTGCCCTATACCATCTGTGCCCTATATCACAAATTTCTTGTTGTACTGAAAACTTCATACTTTCTGATATGTTAGTCCAATAGGTTCATATTGCTTTCCAGATTTTCAGCATACTTCCTATAATGTTAGATTGCGTCATCTCTTTTGCCCTTGATATTTTGTGCATGGGGTGTTCTCTTTTTGACTTTATTTTTATTGTTGAAAATGTTCAATGTGTCGCTACACCTTCTTGACCTAATGTGGTCTAAGTGGTAAAGAACAAATGAACAGATGTCCAGCATATGTACTGATTTTAGTTCTAAGTTACCATCTCATATAAGTTTGTGATAATAACCTGGAGTGGCAAAACAACCCTATAGGCTGACCATGTCAAACTTTGGTTTAATAACAAGCATTTTTCCAACAATGAGTTTAAGTTCATTAATGGATTAGTAAATCAGTAAACTGGGCCTGTGTTAACCAGAACCTATGACTTTTGCCAACTTCTCCATTGGCACACTTCCAGTGTTGGGGGAGGGGAGGACACTAACAGTTTCCAATGCTAACTCAATTATTAAGAGTATGCTGGAATAATATACATCTAGTTTCAATGACAAGAATAAGACATTTATATATATCAATATATATATTAGGCACAATAAGAGAATAATGATAAGAAAAGAACAGTTATTTATTTTTTTTTTAAGCCTAGGTGCATCAGATAATGAGGTAGAAATCATTTTGGTCAGACTTTGGTTGCTTTACAGTGTCATCTGCAGAAAAGAACAGTTATAGCAGTGTACTATAATAGTTATTTGAATGTGTTCTCATTTTCTCTCTCACAGTATCTTATTGTACTGTACTGCAGGTAATTGAAACTGCAGATAAGGGAAGACTACTGTATTTTCCGCTTTGCTGGCCACATACTCGATCCCATATTGTTTGTTTTTGTTGTAATTCTTTAAAAATGTGAAAGCTATTAGCTTGCAGATGTATTAAAAAACAAAAAAGGATACAGGCCATAGTATGCCCACTCCTGAAGTAGAGCATCTTTTCTTTCTTTTTTTTTGGGAGATAGGGTCTTGCTTTGTTGCCTAGGGCTAGAGTGCAGTGGCTTGGTCATAGCTCACTGCAACCTCAAAACTCCTGGGCTTGGTGGCTCAAGCCTGTAATCCTCCTAGAGAGGAGGCCTCAGGAATGAAGTGGGAGGATCGCTTGAGCTCAGGAGTTTGAGACCAGCCTGAGCAAGAGTGAGAAACTCTTGTTTCTCTATAGAAACAAAAAAACCTCCTGGATTTAAGCAGTCCTTCCACCGCAGGTGTACACTACCATACCTGGCTAATTTTTTAAAACTTTTTTTTGGCTGGGGTGATGGTTCACACCTGTAATCCTAGCACTCTGGGAGGCCAAGTTGGGAGGATCACTTGAGCTCAGGAGTTTGACACTAGCTTCTCACTAATAATAGAACAAATTAGCCAAAAATAGAAAGAATTAGCTGGGTGTGGTTGCTCGCCCCAGTAGTCCCAGCTACTCTGGTGGCCAGGGCTGGAGGATTGCTTGAGTCCAGGAGTCTGAGATTACCCTGAGCTAGGCTGAAGCCACAGCACTCTAGCTTAGGCAACAGAGCAAGACTCCTCTCAAGGCCAGGCGTGGTGGCTCACTTGTAATCCTAGCACTCTGGGAGGCTGAGGCTGGAGGATCGCTTGAGGTCAGGAGTTCGAAACCAGCCTGAGCAAGAGTGAGACGCCTTCTCTACTAAAAATAGAAAGAAATTAATTGGACGACTAAAAATATGTAGAAAAAAATTAGCTGGGCATGGTGGCGGGTGCCTGTGGTCCCAGCTACCTGGAGGCTGAGGCAGAAGGATTGCTTGAGCCCAGAAGTTTGAGTTTGCTGTGAGCTAGGATGATGCCACGGCACTCACTCAAGCCCCGGCAACAGAGTAAGACACTGTCTCAAAAAAAAAAAAAAAAGACTCTTCTCTCAAAAAAAAACACAACTTTTTCTTTTTTTTCCCCAGAGAGTCTTGCTCTCTTTCATTGGGGCTAGAGGGTAGAGAACCCTGACTTCAGCCTAGCTCACAGCAACCTCAAACTCCTGGGCTCGAATGATCGTCCCGCCTCTGCCTTCCAGAGTGCTAGGGTTACAGGCATGAGCCACTGCGCCTGGCCTGACTAATTTTAAGAATTTTGTAGAGATGGGGTCTTGCTATTTTGTTGCCCAGGCTGGGGTGGTTTTTTAATGAGATATAATTTGTTAGAAAAAAATGCTTCCTTTTAAGGCATACGTTTTTGTGTGTGTGTGTTGTTGTTTTTTTTGAGACAGAGCCTCACTGTGTTGCCCAGGCTAGCGTCCCATGGCATCAGCCTAGCTCACAGCAACCTCAAACTCCTGAGCTCAAGCAATCCTGCCTCAGCCTCCCAAGTAGCTGGGACTACAGGCATGTGCCACCATGCCTGACTAATTTTTTCTATGTTTTTTAGCTGGTCAATTAATGTCTTTCTATGTTTTTAGTAGAGATGGGGTTTCGCTCTTGCTCAGGCTGGTTTCGAACTCCTGACCTTGAGCGATCTGCCTGCCTCGGCCTCCCAGAGTGCTAGGATTATAGGTGTTAGCCACCATGCCTGGCTAACTGTTTCTACTTTTTGTAGAGACAGAGCCTCATTATGTTGCTGAAACTGGTCTCAAATTCCTGGGCTCAAGTCGTCCTCCCACCTTGGCTTCCCAAATTGCTGGGATTATAGGCATGAGCCACTGTGTCCAGCCAAAAAAATTTTTTTAAAAGGTTATTTCCTTCCTTCTACCTATCTTCTGCTTGTCCTACTTGCTTTACTCACTGCGGAGGTGGGCAGAGCATTTTGGGGAACTTTCTATATTTTGGAAGTAAGATGCACTTAGAATTTATAAATCAGCATGTAGCATTTCATTGGGCTTCTTCCTCTCTCCCTCCTTACCTTTCTTCCTTCCTATGTTTGCATGCTCACCAAGTACCAAGCGTAGT